GGCCGCGATGGTCTGGATGTGCTTCAGGTATTTGCGGAAGAAAGTCTTGGCCCTTTGGATGCAGTTGGGAGGCTCGTTCGAGCATGCAGAAGAGAGGGGGAAGACAAGAAGAAGAAGGCATAGCACTTCCTAAAACTTACTTGTACCTAAGAGGTGAATAAGGAAGGACATGGAAGGACTCTTTCACAATCTTTTATATACCTATTCTTCCATATGATTTGTCAGATGCAAACATCGAAGCTATTCGTGCCACTTGCTCACACCCACAGGGAGACACAACTTCAAGCCGACAACCTTCAGTGTTGTGATGTCACACCCTCTCTGTGAAGAAACCCTTTGATCGGTGGCGGAGCCCCGGGCAGTGAGGCTGAGAGGCAGGAGGAAAAGAGGAACCACCGCCACGAGTGAGCCGCATGTAGAGCAGCTGGTGGTGCCGACTGGGCAAGATGCGCAAGACGGGTTTAACTAACAGTAACTAACCTTCAGACCCACCCCCTCATGGTGAAACCAGGGTCCGGAGTTTCATGGAATCACGAGGAACCATGACAACCCTCGATATGTCTCATAAAGAGTCATGACCAATAGCTCGCTCATGGGGGGTTGCCCCAATTTATGGTGTGTGTGTGTGTGTGTCAAACCCTTTTTCCAAGGGTCTAATTTAAAGCAGGGGGCAGCAGGGAATCCACAATTCTGCTGCCAACGAAGACAGCTGTGGACATTCCGTGAAGGAGATTGGGACGCCAATCTGTGTACCTGCTGGGAAACTTTTGAGCAAGCTGTTCCAATCCGTCCTTTTTGTTTCATGGTGGTTCATGCCTCCTCCCCTACACCCATTTCGTCACCGCAGATGTACGTTGAGCCGTTTCGCCACCACAGTCAAGGGAAACATTCGATGTTCAAACACCTACAGTTTCTTGGACTTTTTGCCATACTGTTCCATCGCCATCCTTCCCATCGTGGCAATTGAGTCTAACTGAAAACCAATGTCAGAGTGTGTACATGATGCAGGGCCAAAGACGGACTCATGGTGTGCAGAATTTTGGTCGAAACCTATTGGGCAATTCTGGGTGATTTGCGCTGGCTCAAGGAAACCAGCCTTGACCGAACTTCGGTCGTTTTTCTTCCTGCGCCGGTACCGTTCCGTCGCGAGGTACCTGAAGAAGTTGCCACGAAGTCGCTGGGAGGAGATGGAGCAGACCAGGCGCCGACGTGGACCAAACGCTGAGCACGGGCGAGCACGGGCGACCGGGAGATGGGTGGAATGGGTCGCTGGAAGATGCCATGAACATTTGTGTGATTCTTTGTGTATAGATATATGTCAAAGAGCGGTTGCGATTTGTTCAATGCCTTTGGTTCGGCAGTTGTTTGGGAGCCTGATGCCTCATGTGTCCACTTCCTGCCGCCGCCCCCCCCACAGGTTCTTGCAGCCCAAGGTTTTCAAGGGTTGATTGACAGGGGGCAGCGGTAAAACCAAGAAGGCTAGGCTGGCAGTGACCTGGAAGGCTCGACATGGATTCCTGAAGGTTTATACCGTATACCGTCTACCTACCTACCGCAGGCCAGCTTTTGATGATCTCAGAATTAATGCCTCAGGTGTCCGCATCATATTCCACGAAATATCACAAATGCCTAGGACTGGAGGCACTTTGCCTGTGCCTGGCCTAGGACTGATGAGGCGGACGGCAGTTAGAAGAGTTGTATCATTTGCCTCACGGAATACACGCCCAGCTGCAGCGTTCCTTGTCACCGTGAGTTTTGGCTTGGCTGGGGAAGGGAGCCTCCCAAAAAACCATTCTGCATCTAAGATTGTGCACAGGTAGTTGCTGTTTCCACGAGTGGTTGATGCAGAGATGGGATAGGGACCCCAACAGGAGTAAACCTGCTTCAACAGCTGCATGATTACATGGGAGGCATTTCTTGGATCAAAATGGTCACCCTCAATGCAAGTAGTCAAATGTGTGTGGTTGCCCCATCATAAAGCGGTTGATGGACAAAGTCCTTCATGGCCTAGGAGCCGTGAAACAACCTTGGCTTAACAGTATTGTAGTGGCTATAGTTACCAAGATTGCCAGCCATCACAGATGCTCAGATGGCAACTCATTCGTGTAGTCGGCCGGAACTGGTTGGTTATAGTAATATACATTTTGCTAGATGTGTCCGAGGTTGTCAAGCTTGATTGTGGCCACATCTTCCACGTGGCTTGGCATGTTTTTACATCTTGGCTGATCGTAGACTTTATGTTTGCCCAGAGCCTTCTTTGAACTTCCATGAAATTCCAACTGGTTGTGTATAGTGCTTGGATTCACCTGCCACTAGCACTTTTCAGCATACATATTTCTTGTTTTTTGGGTGTCTATTTGCTGGCGCTATGTGTTTTTGCCTCATATTGCTATCAAAAACTGCCCGTTTTGAATCCATTCAGATCTACAGTACTCTTTTGATCTGCAATTTGGCCGTACATGTGAACACCACCTGCATCGCCAACCTTCAGGATTCGTGCATCTCACACTGGGTCCTTGATGAAAAGCGGGAACCTTGCCCCTTCCGCTGCACCAACTTCCCAGAAGAGGTTGACACTCGGCAGCAACAGCACAGGTGGGCAAGTAAAGATTGGGTGGTGGTGGTGGTGGGTTCCGCATTACTGAGTGACTGTCATCCTATGTAATTTCTCTCAAGCAGATGGCTCGACCCATGAACCAGCCGAGCAAGCCACCTCTGATTTATATTGATTTATGGACCGCGACCTAAGTGATTTCTCAGTGTAGCCAATAGTTCACAGCAAAGACATCCCACAGGGGAACGACTGGGTGCTGTGCCCCTGTTGGCCTCGGCACTGGGTTCTTCGTTCTGCCGGGTGCCGAAACACATCGCTGAGGCACGGACCGATAATAGTTCTCCACTGCAGCTCGGCGGTCGTGGTGTGCCCATGACGAAGAGAATGTACGAATCGCATTGAACATGCCAGACAGCAACAACATGAACAACAGCATGCACATGTTAGGAGGAATGTCAAGTACTCACATTTAGTGAAAGGCTCGGAGAAATCAGAGCCTCACCCCATGTTCGCATTGATGTTTTCGGACCAACTCTCGTGCCCTTGTCATTTCGGATTCTTTTTCCTTTCTTCATGACAAGGATCGAGTTTGGTACGAGTTTCCTCAGGACATGAGTTTTAGGATTCTTTTTGATCTTTTCCTCATGTTTTCCGAGTTTGTTCCCACCAAATAACCTGGTAGTGTTCTACTCGGTCCCTGTCGTGTCAGGTCGCCGGTGATTGGTCGAGTCACCCTCGACTCCGCTGCGACGCTCGACCGCGACGCCTGAGCGCGACGCCTGAGCGCCGCGACGCCTGAGCGGCGCGGAGCGCGTGGGAGCCGACGCGACGCCATGGTGCGTGCTCAGACAAAGCTGAGCCGGGGATCGTGAACATCATCACGGGTCCCGAAACAGGAGTGTGTGTGGGTCAATGACCGGACTCAGCGCAGTGGCTCCAGGGGCTCCAGGGGTTGCAGATGATGATAAACTATGAAGCGCCCAGCAATTAGATATTGCAGAGACCACGGATCTCTCCTTGGGATTCCTAAATCTGTATGAAGTACTTAGAAGGCGCTACAGAGACCACAGAGGGTATTGTTCTGATTTAGAGGTGATGAAACCACAGATCCACAATGATCCACATTCATTCCTGCATTTGGGATGTCTCCTGTATAGCCCGTTCCTGACCTGAGAGCTGAGAGACCTCAACCTTCCGGCGAGGTGTTAGCGCTCGGGGGCGTTTTCCTTCCGAGCATCCGAGCGATCTTCCTGTTTTTGCACGGTCATTTGGCTGGCGACTCTGGCGAGGGTCATGCTTCTCGGAATCTGCGGTGTTTCTTTTAAACCAATGTGGGGGCCCACGAATCCCGGCCAAGGGCTTCTAGGCACCAGCCGAGTTGCACACCATGTGGCCATGTGCTGTCTTTCGGGGCAGCGGTGGGAGCCCACTCTCCAGTATTCTCCAGTTCGTTTCTAACTTCTTTTTGAGCAGCGGATGTTGTTTGCAAATGTTTGCCAGCAAGGTTGCTCAAACCCTTCAGGAACAATGACAATCACCTGAGTGAGAACTATGGTTTTGTTTCTGGTGTTCCCCTGGCTGCACATGCATCACGAAGCCTATATGCTCTGCAGTAGTTCCCCTATATGCTCGAAAAACCGTCCTGAAAGCCAGAAGGACGACTAAGACTAAGGAGGAAGAGCAGAATGACGTTCACCATCCCGCCTTTCAAAGGGAGTGGGAGAGATATGAGAACAAGGACAGATGGAGAAGGGGGCGGTGCACAACTCATGTCCACTACGGCAGACCCCACGATTTCCTGGGACACCGGACTGGAGTGGGGTGTGTGACTACAGATTTGGCTTGGCAGGTCGAAACTTGTTTCAACCCAGAGGTTTCTGAGGCTGAGTCTTTTCCTACTGATCAGCCGCCGATCTATATACATGCTGCATGAAGCGTCCAGGGCATGGAGATGACCTTATGACTAGTAAGGACTTTTTTCATGTCCTTGTTCCTTCAATGTTCCGTTCATCGGCAGCAACATGTCACCACACACAAATCCTGGAACCAACCAAAGTTCTTTTTTAATTCCAAGTGACTCACACTCATCTTCCGCATGATGTTCACGATCGGAACCCAAGTTCTTCTTCGGCCAAGCTCCACAGCTCGACGGCTCGACGACGGAGTCGGGAGCCCCCACCACGCAAGAGACTTCACCGACGCGACATGACGCGAGTCAATGAAACAAAAGGGCGTCAGTCGTGCAAAGAGGTTTGAAACTCTTTGGTGGATCATGACATCGGCAGAAATGCAGAAATGTGTGTGAAATCATGGTCGAAATCATGGTTTGAGAGATTTTGGGAGGCCTATTTTTTTTCCGTCCGATGTTGCCTCACACATCCTCTCAAATATCATCCAAACTGCTCAGTGCACACCCCAAGCCATCCAACCCACTTGGGTGCCGCAGGCCAGTGGCGCCCAAGTCCACCCAGCATTGCAGCGCACACCGGACATCGGCCCTCGCGGCAGCGGCTTGGTGGTGGTGGCTCCGGTGGAGGAGGGCGAAGCCCTGCTGAGAGCGGCTGGGCCAAAGGGTGGAGGGAAGGGCCGGGACGGGCGGAATGAAGGCTTGGATGGGGACGGACACCTTCATGATGAATGTGACATGAAGTGATGATTAAGTGATGTATGATGATGTATGGATGGAGGTCTCAGAAAGGCAGAAGGGTGCAATTTCAGGTGAATGTTTGATGTCTTTGAACATCTTTCGCCTTTTGTAGAGGCCGTGATCATCCTTGGTCAACAGCCAGCCCCACACGCCACTGCCAAGGTTCCGCAATCCGCTGTTCTCTCCGGCAAGATGGCGCCCGAGCCCCGGGTGAGCAGGTCAGTGGGTAAGGTCAGGTAGCTTCAATCCTGATACTGCAGATCTTGCAGCAACAAGACCCCATGGCCCGGATCTACTTTTTTTTTCTTCACCCACTGGAGACAAGAGAATCCATAAGGAACCAAGCCTCCACCCTGGCATGTTTGGCACAAAACCCCCACTCAACATCCGATCCATCGTGGGTGGAACATGATGGACCTCAACGCTCCAAACACTTCCTTGTTGGCCACCACCGCCTTGGTGGTCTTGCCGCACATAGCGATGCCGTGCGGCTGAGGCAGCAGGTCTTGGGGGTGGACTTGGAGCCTGACCTGGCATTGGTGGCGTTGCTGGCGGAGGCCCGGGCCAGAGCGGAAGAAGGCGGGGTGCTCGGCGAGTGCTAGGGGCCTGGGTGGGAGAGTGCGGAATATTGCGGAATAGTTGTTTCTTTTTGTGTTCTTGGGGGGGCCGGCGATGGGAGCACTGATTTTGGGAGCGCTGAAGGGAACTAGGTCATTGTGATGCTTGTCCCGAATGTGACCTGTGACGGCAAGTCATAAATCATATGTCCAACGAGTGGGACTTTGCTATGGAAGTGGACGCAGCAATCAGCATTCTGACGCGTAATCCTGAAGGGTGCGAAGGAGGATTGGCCAAACCAATCCGAATAAACACATAAGGTGTTAGCATCCTTAGCCCGGAGGTGCACGATTCATCCACTCATTTCACCAGACTGGAGGAACTTGTTGTCAAAACTTCGACATAGCCCGCGCGTTTTGGCCATGTCCCATGTCCTTTGGATCACGGTGCTAATGAGATGCATACACACTTGGCCGGACAAGCAGTGTGGAACATGCAAGATAATGACGAATGCAGATTTAAGTTGAATTGGGAGTCCTATTTTCAGTGGTTCTTTCCTTCCTCAACTGTGTGGTGAGAGCAATCAGATGGCAGCCTGGCAGTTATGGAAACAGTCAGGACCAGCTTGCAAATTTTGTGGGGTGGGCTGACAATATGTTCAACGACCGTGGTCAGTGTAACTTGTTCACGTGCTTTTACCCATGTTCACCCCAGTCGGAATTCCCCTCCCTACTCTTTCCTCATCACCTCATTTGATGGTACGCCCAGCTTCGGGCAGATGGGAGAGGCCAAGACATCATTGGACTGAAAGAGTATTTGCTTCTGGGCTTGGAAGATGGCGATGAGTTGGCTCGACCTCGTGCAGATTCACGAACATTAGGGTCCCTAGCTGCCACACGGAATTACATATTCCCAATCGATCCATTCAGGAAGGTCCAACGTCCCAATGAGCTTCATCCCAGGCGGCGCCCAGATTTGCCCGACTTCTTATAGGATGATCACTTCAACAGCTCCAGGGTGTGTCTTCATGCGTTTGGAGTGCCGTGTAATTAGTCTACCCAAATCCACTGGTACTTGTTTGTGTTAAGGGCCCTCATGGGCCCTCAGGATCCTGCAGGGGGGTCAGGTTGATAAGACCCGGCACTTCACGCATCCAGGCAAGTGTTTCTGGATGGAGTTGGGACAAACAAAAGGTCGACAAGAGCTTTGTGGTGGGAGTACTTGCCACAAAGCCTGAGCTGGAAAACGGTAGCGGTTGATCTGCCTTCAGAGATTCACAGTACATCTTTTTTACATGATTTACATGTAAAGAAATGCACCGTGAATCTCTGAGTCAAGCGATCTTTCCTGCTTCCCCTTTCGCTTTCAGGCTTTCTTTACCACGCCACTTCCACGGTTTGCCGTGGGTCTTTGATGATGAGGCTGGCTTGTTGACTTATGCTGTTTGTGCTTCCACCTGAACCGTACCTCGCAAAGAAGGGGGGCCTTCAACACTGGCTTTCATCCCTTTTTCCCATCACTCCCACAGCCTTGCTTTGGCATTGCCATGGGTGGGCAGGGTGAATCACAAATGCATACAAGAGCCAAACCACCTTCACCCAACTGGCCCTGGCCCACCTGTTCAAGGTAAACGGCCAACCATCTGCTTTTTCCTCCGCCAGTTCGCTGCAGGAAGCGGCCAGTGAGCTGCGAGGAACCGCGCTGCAGCCGTGCTTGCAGCTGTTGCAGGCCAAGGAGGATGAGAATCGACAGGTGGGAGAGCCAGGAACCTCTAGCACAAGAGCCACAAGAGTGCACACGGCATGCGCTGACCATACGGCCTTAAGTTCTTTGGTGTTTTGGGTGGTTTTGCAACGTGCATGGCATGATGCTGTACAACCCCCTTGTGTGGATGTATGTAGTTGGACCTGGAACTGGGCGGAGGTTTTTTTTCACGTCGGGCGATGTGCGACAGGTGCTGCAGGCGCGCCTTGGAGAGCGGCTCGCAACGGCATGGAGCGCTGAACGCTTTCGCTGGGCCAAGGCGGTGGTGATGACCAGGTGGGAAGTAGATGGGAGTCATGGGCGTTTTGTGGGTAATGTGGAAGCACAGGACATGTTTGACTGCTCAAGAGCTTTGCTAAAAGAAGCAAATATAAGTCAATAAAGTCCATGCAATTACTATAATGATGACATATGATGACATCAATAGTTTCCGGATTTTTGTATGGCCCTTGCTTTTGAACACTCACACACAGCCGCAGAAGCCTAGCCACTGCTTGCCCGCAATTGACTCGGCAGGGCTGGCATCCATGAAGTGTCAGAGGACTGGGATGAAGCAGTTAAGTGGACTCAGTCCACTGGTTTGCCAAGATAAATAGGTCCTTTTTCGGCTTCCCCGACTTCCTATACCTTCTTCAGCGCCTTGGGCCACCTCTAACACCTGTCTTTTAGTTATTCAATGATTGGACTGGACCAAGTGGTCAACAATTCAACAGTATTAGTACACATCTCAGAGAAACTCCCGTGCTCCAAGACATGAGAGACCACGAAGCCGGGGGGACCATGAGGTCCCTACTGCCTGATCAGCCTGGCCACCTGGTTCCTCAGATACGTCACGTCCACCCACCTCACCGCCTCGCTGAGGAGCCAGAGCCCTCGGTGGCCATCGTTCCTTTGATCGACTTTGCCAACTGTGCCGAGGCGCGGGGAACGAAACGAAGCCCTCGAAGACTGGGAAGCGAGGTTCTCATTGGTGAAAGAACCTCCTTGACGTTCTTGAAAGGTTTGCTGAGTGGAGAAGGGCAGAAAAAAGGTATGATATGCTGGTGGTCAGTAGTTTGGTCAGTTTGTTGAACGTCGATTTTCCAGAGAATTCTCCTCTTCTCACACGCGCGCAATTCGAAGCTTCTTCGAACCGAGGTGCCCAGCGCCTTCTGTCGCCTTCACAAGGGTTTCATCGAGCTGGTGACGCGTCAAGCGTTGAAGGCGCGGGCTCGAGCTGTGGGGCGATTGCGGTGTTTTTGGGATGGTCGGGGTCCGGGAGGGCGTCGGTGTGTTTTTGTTTTTTAAGGGTGAGATGTAGTAGAAGTTTCATCAGTTCTATATACATCATGCTACATCATCATCCCAACAAAAAAAGGTAATTACGCACAGCTCCAGGGAACTGGGGTACAGTTGAGAAGTCCATCGATGTTCAAGGATGTTCACTGTAAAGAAAGACGTGGTTGGTTTGTTCTAGATGTCCTGCGCTGTTGGCTTTTTGGATCAAACCAGATCAATTGGACTTCTGGTTCTAGGTTGGACTTTGGGTTCCAAGAGGGTTTCCCCTTCTTCACCGTTCTTCCCCATGTGTCCAGGCGGGTGATGAAGTCACCATCAGCTATGGCGAGCAGAGCCAGGTGCCCGACGCCGTACGCGGAGAGGGGGGTGTTTTGCCCCGGATTTTTGGGCGAATCGATGCTGCAGGCTGTTGGGGCAAGCAGGAGGCTGTTGCACAGCAGTTCTCCCCAAAATTGGTTCCAAAAAGCGCTCGGCCCCAAGAAAAGACGCCGCATGTTGCTTCAGCATGTGAACTGACAAGGAAGGCTGACAAAACACTGGCACGTCACTGGCACCCCTCAGCCCAACGAAACACCTGGACTCAGACACCACAGCAGGAGCAGCAGCTCTTTACCTTTGGCTTCTTTTTGGAGTCCTCTCCGGTGGAGATCATGACGCCTCTGGTCGGAGCCTGAGCGAATGGCTTTCAAGGAAGGAACAAGGTAAACACCCAACTCATCCCAACTCCATGTGTATCTCCACGGGTGGTATTATTTATAAACACACACGCCACTTCTGAACTATATGGCTAACGATGGCCAACGTATTATAAACACACATGCTACTTCTGAACTATATTTAAATAAATATATATATATATATATATGGCTAACGATGGCCAAAGTATTATAAACACACATGCTACTTCTGAACTATATGGCTAACGATGGCCAAAGTAATTAGAGAGGTCTTTTGCTATTTGCACGTTGCATTTATGGCTTTCTGAGCCATGACTGGCCATCAATGAAGGCAAACCCAACCATTCCAGACCAAAGACCTCCCCTCTCTCGAGCTGCTTCTCTTCAAGGCCATGACAGTGCCAACGGAGGTGACCACTGCAGTGGAGCTGAGGAACGTTCTGCTGAGGCCGATTTGATGACGTCCCAGTGAGCCCCCCTGATTTCGAGCGTCGAGGAGGTCATCTTCCTACGACGAGAGGGGGACTAGAGGCCTTCTGGAAGCCTGTAGATTCTTGAAATGTTTGCGGCCGGAGGGGAAGCAACCCCCTTCCCCACAAAAGCCTTCAGCCTTGGGCAAAGGCAAGCATTCCGTTTGTTGGGCCTGACTTTGGCATATTATAGGGAGGATTGGCGCCTTTAATCGTTTTTGTTGGAAGATAAATCATCCATTCTTCCCAGAAGTCTGTTGTGAAGGAACAACGTTCCGGTTGAGGTTGTGGGACCTCTCGGCTTGGTGCACGGCGTAATTCGTTTGCTCCCAGCCTCGCCAGGCTTTTGTTCCTGGAGCGTCAGAATGCCGAGGTGCAAGGGATCGACCGAGTCATGGTGTCCTGCGTTGCGGAGTCCAACATCTCACAACCAGAGAAATCAGACAACTGTGACAAGATGCGATTTACTGGTAACGGTATGTCTCTGAAAGAGATCAAAGGTGATCAAGTGGAAGACCACTGCGGCGACCTACAGGAGCCTACAAGAACCGACAATAAGCCACGGGTGGTTGAAGGCATGTGGAAGAAGTCCAGCATGTCCAGGAATGCCTCAATTCGCCTAACCATATGGCCCTTGGAGCGCTCCCAGTTTGCGGTACAGTATCCTTTTGGACAGCAGTGACTAGCCTCAACAGGCTCTCACATATCAAGTCGTGGACTTGACGCCATTGCCCTTAATGCAATTGCATCAACAGGCCGTAAACGACAGTTTACATCCGGTGATATACGACTCACAGCCACACCAAAAATGGCTTAAAGGATATTCTCTACAGATGAGCCATCCGGCCATCCGTGAAAAGCTCCAACAGTCTCTCCCGCTGCATCGAGCCTTTTCCAAACGCCTCCGCTGAGGGCTCCATGGCCGATTTGCCGCCCTTCGCCATGCTGCGAGCGCGGTGGGGATGCCGAAAACGATGATCGTGAGAGCCTTTGACACTTCTTTTGGGTCGTGGGCCGTGGGCATGCTATTTCATGCCCCCAAACCCAGGAAGACATGTACCACCCCCCCACCTCCGCATGTGCTGTTCTTTCCTGTTCGCTTTCTTCGCAGTGTCCAGCATGCGGCGCCTCTCAGGTCGTCGGGGCTGGACCTCTCAGAGCTCTACGGGGTGGCGACTCTGCAGGAGCTGCCGGAGAACCAGCTCCGTCAGGGAGCTCAGCCTCAGCTCCGCCACGGTGGGTGGACTGCCACTCCCAGGGCGGGGGCCGTTGGTGCGCCCAACTTGTGGTGCATGTGGAAGATGGGACTGGGAGAACTGGAATTGAAGATGCTACAGCAGGAGAAGCATACCAAACGGCTGAGGTCATACATGTATGAAGGAATTCCGGCGAACTCTAGCGAACTCTAGCTGGCTAGATTCGCTATTGATATCTGCCATGTTGGATGAATGATGGCTGAAGCAAAGGGATGCAGCCATGTTAGCAACAGAGTGCTGCCTGAGGTCAGGTAGCGGATGAGGTCCGAAAGACATCAAGGCCGCCAGGGTTGGGCAGCTCCAGGCTGAGTGGATAAGCATAAGAAGTCATTCTGGAACTGCAGCCAGAGCAGTGTCCAGAGCTACCAGTCCTACAGTATTTTGAGAATGACCATGAATGACCCATCTGGATGCTGCCACCGCCTGCCGCCTGTGTGGCGGGGATCCCCTGCGAGGCTTGCCTTGCCACCGCCATCGTCGGAGAGTTTGAAACGTTTGAAGGCGCAGAGAGGGCGAATTCAGGTTTGGACGGCCAAGAGGGCGACACGACCTGCAAGTTTGGAATGGACATGGACAACTGAACACACGTGATGTGTTCAGTTCAGCTGGCCTTGAAAAGGCTCTGTGTTCCGTAAATCCGCATCAAACATCTGGAACAGCCTATCGAATTTCTACGCACTTGGAACGCCAAAAGCACAAAAGTGGAGCAATCCCCACCAACGTGCAACGCCAAAAGCTCCCGGGGGCTGATGCCCCGAGCGCCTCTGTCGTGCGCAGGCGCTGCTCCAGGAGTGGCACGCCGAGCTCTCGGTGGAAGCGAGCTCCTCCCGGAGCGGCGAGAAGCCGGTGTTTCTGCGCGCGCAGCTGGGCGTGGCAGAGGAGGTGAAGGTGACGGGCGTGGCTGAGATGTTGTATTTTTTGTGGGGATGCGGGCAGAGGTGTTTTTGTTAACTACACGCCAGTGTGATTGCGAGGGGGAGATGAGGAATTGAGGAGCGAGATTCATAATGTATATCATGTAGGGAGCTACATGGAGCTGTATATTAGCATGTTGTCAAATGCGCTCTTTGATTTTTCTGTACATGTTTGTCCTCGTTCCTCACTTAAGGTATCGCAAGAGATGTGTGGAGTTGGTGGAGCAAGCGCTGAAGCAGTTGACCGAGAAGGTGCCGGCGATCGATCCTGTGTGATGTCGGGACACCACAGGACACTACAATGACAGTGTGTTATGTTAAGTCACATGTTATATGATATATATATATATGATGTGATATACCTATATCATGTTATATTTGTTCCGGGTTAAGGATGCAAACATGCCATGGCTATCAAAGATGTACTTGTGTGATCAATCACTCATGCTCATGCACTAAAGGGAAGGAATCCTCGCGGCATCATGTTGCAGGGGGCGATTGATCTTTTGGGTCTTCCCCAGCAAGGAAACATCATATCTCAGAGATCCGCTACACTTCATGCGGCATCCTTTGAGCCATGTCGCTGGAGGCCTGCCATTCCCAATTATTGAAAAGATAAACTAAACTTTCATCAGGTATGCGGCTTTCTGGAATGCAAGTGGGGGAAAACCAGTGCCTGCTTTCTGGAATGCCAGTGATCGTTGCCAAGGAGCTGGAAGCAGCTTTGGGAGCGCCCCTTTCGCTGTAAAAGACCAGGGAATGGTAGCGCTGGGCAACGGTGAGAGGAAGTAAGGTGAGGGCATGTGTGGGTTTGGAGGTTACTTACAGCACTTTGGGAGACCCCTCCAAAACTATGAACCAAACAGTTTTCTGTAATGTCGATTTATTTAGACGAAATTGGACAAGCCTGAAATGGCCAGACAGGTCCTCGCATTTTGTGATAGACTCATCTATATATATATAACCATATGCAGGATGGCGTGCAGTCTTCATTCTTCATGTGGATATTTCCATTGACTCGACCCATGAACTGACACGACCCCGGATGAAAGGCTGCTTGACGGTTTTAGACAAGTTTGCTTGAGCCCTTAGTGAAACGCCCCACTGACCTTTATGCCAGCCCCATTTCGATCCATGTGGATGCGGGACAGGAGCAGTTGCACAGTCTACTTTGCCTGCACGCTGCTCGTTTGGCCATCAAGGTTAGACAGAAAAGACTATTAATCAAACACCGCTGCACGGTCACTGACATTGAGGACATTGAATCGGAGAGTTCGAATCGCATCCTGGTGCAAGGCCAGTGGCCTCCATCCAAAGAGGGCAGCCACTTGTCCACAAAACCTCCCACCTACCTTTGCTCATGTTCATGCAAAGCAGACCTTCAACCACGCCGAAATCTCCTTTTCTTCATGGTGCTGCAGCCAGAATGCACTGAATGCATGCATTCAGCAAGATTGTTCGCAGCAAGATCCGGTGCATGAAACCTTCAAAGAAGCCAGTACGGAGGCAACATCAACGACAATTGTGAGCACCTCCAGGTTTCCAACATATGTTTTTCCTTCCTTGCAGCACCCCAGCGCACGAAAGAGTTCATGAAGCTGCTTCTCCACCACCAGGGACCCGAGGTGCCCCATGGCCAGCTGTGGAGGCCGTGCGTTCGTTCAACTTCACGTGCCGGTTTTGTGATTGTATGTCGGTATGCACTTTGCACATGTACGTGGCATACAGCTTTGGTTCTTAATACTACTCCAAGTCTCAAAATGCCAGTATTGCGACGTTCAATGACTAACAGTATTTGCATTTTCAGTACTTCTCATTGGCTCATCTTTGCATGTCCGATCATGTCCAGGCACGGCCCAACTGCTGGTGGGCTTCGATCTTAGCGTGCAGAGTTGGAGCGCGCATTCCGCCGTGTTGTTTCAAAAAGGGAGCCGAGCCTTGCACCTACCAATTTCCACCATCAAATGCTATCAACCAATCTTGCAGCCCCAGATGCGTACATAACCCAGAGCCGCTTGTGGTGCTGGTGAGCTTCTGATCTTTCACGAGCCCTTTGGTCCAAGCTAGGCACGGTAGGTGTCAGGCTAGGTAGTCTAGCTAGGCATACTTTGGCAACATGGTGGGAATTCTATTCCTTTTGATGTCGTTGGTAGATGCTTCTCAATTCCAGTGGGCAATCACAGAGCAGTTCTCCAGCAGTAGCTGTGCCATCGCCGATTTGACCAAGACCCAAGAGTTGGGACGTGTCGGCACAGTGGCTTTGGGCCTCGGCTGTGGTGATAGCGGTGCGAAGGCCTATCTGGTTCAAGGCACCGATTTGGTGACAGAAAGCCACAGCACAGCTGACTGCTCGGGCACTCCCTTGGCCAACAGCACTACCATGCTCGACACATGTGCGGAATCCAGCACCGCTGGAGTCTATGAGAAGACGAAGGTGGTGACACTTCCCGCGACTTCAATGACTGTTTACAACCAGGGTGATGACAATTGTTCCAACTCACACTTGGGCATCTATGTCGGTGCTTTGGAGCTTTGCCACTTCGATTCAAACGTGCCAGGAAAGAAAAGCAGAAAGACCGTGTGCCAGGGAGACAAGACATGGAATTGCTACTACAGCAATTCTGATTGCACTGGCGATGACTTTTGCTCTCCCAGTTCTAACACTCTGAACTCGTGCTATGAGACAGGGGGGCGGTATGCGATCACGACGGTTCTTGGCTCGTCTTCGCCCCACTACAACCACTACCACCACAACACCCTTCACTGGGATTTCAGGAACATCTCCGTCTATGGTGATGGTACTTGCTCGACTTTGACAGGCACTTACCCAGTGAATCTGGGGCAATGCATGCCAACTGGTGCAGGTACTCAGAAATGGGAGTGTAGTGCAGGATCGATCTCCCACTTGACTAATGCCACTGCAGATTGCAGTGGGATTGTGGTGACCAACGGCCCGTACGAGCGGGGCCCATGTGTTCCTCAAGACAACGGAACCTCGTCGTGGCTCCTTGACTTTGCAGGATGCACTTCGACACCGATCAGTTCATCGAAAGGACAACTTTTCAGCCTGACCATCTTGGGCTTCGCATGCCACCTCGTAGCCGGCTAGGCCAGGCATAGTGCCAGGCATATCTTAATCAAAGGCACCGCAATATGTGCTCAAGAGACTTGAAAGCTATTGTTTTTCCTGAAAGTGTTTGCAACTCGCATGTCAGCAAATCGGGAACCGTGGTGGTCAGATCAGAACTGCTCAGGCCGTTTCGGATGGAGAAGATGGATGCAGGCTCGTTTGGGGACGTAGGTGTTTTATCATTGGTGTGTTTATGGCAGAAAAGACGTTCTTCACGAACGGAAACGTCATGTTCTGTGTTAAAACGCTGCGAAGTCTAGGGAGTTTGGCTTCTGTGAACACTTCTTGGCAGTAGCAGAGATGAGCATCAGGTCTCAGAGGGTTTTGTGGGAACATCAACCTGACTGGGATGGGATTCTTTGCGAAGACCGATCGCTCAGGGTGCGATTCGGCGTTTTTTTCCAAACAAGGATAGGTCATGGAAGGTAATACGGACATCTGAACCATCTTGTCCCCAGTGGATGCCGTGGCTATCAAAAAGCTACTTGTGTGATCAATCACTCATGCTCATGCACTAAAGAGAAGGAATCCGCGCGGCATCATGTTGCAGGGGGCGGAGCAAGAGTTGCGCATAGAGCTTTGGTTCTTAATATCACTCCAAGTATCAAGATGCAATTAATGCGACGTTCTATGACTAGCAGCACCTGCATTTTCACTACTTCTGTTTGGCTCCATGTTCCAGGCGCGGCCCAACAGTGCCCAACAATGCTGGTGGGCTTTGATCGAAAACGAATTCCGCTCGAAAGCGGCAGCACGTCTTGGGAGCACTCATTTGGTATTCGTTCCACATTTGATGAATTCTTCCGGTTAAGGGCGCCATTTACAGATGAGGTTGTTCAGCAGCCTTCACCACGGATAGGTCGAGCATTGGTATTTGCAGGTATTTGCCAATATTTACCAGGTTTTTCCAAGCAGAGAGCCAAGCCTTCCACCTACCAATTTCTGCAATCAAATGCTATCAGACATTGGACAGCGCATCCCAGCCCGTGCAGGTCCAGCCTCTACACAGCCGCTTGTGGCGCTCCAAACTTGCGACAGGTGGGAGAATCAACGTGGAAATCGAGGATAAGGTGAAATTTGAACCATTTGGGCCTTGATGCACCCTGTCAAAACTTCAGCTCTACCACAAATCGTCTGATGATATAGATGCGACAATCACTGGGCATTGGTCTTGTCGCACCGCTGCATCCACATCAGACGCCCTCCGAACCAATTAATCCACGATATCATTTCTTATCAAGTGAACCCTCCCAGACCTTTTCAATGGAAGAATGCCAACCAACACGTTTTTGGCGCTGAAAGCTGATCACCGGCCCCCAGCAAGTCAATTTGTCCCTGCCATCCACGACCCCAACGACCGTCGGGCGCTAGGTGCCTGCGCAGCTCAGCGCGCAGCCGGGTGACCGCTCCATCGGTCGGGGAACCTCGGACGAAGGTCGGAACAGCGCATCATCCGAAGGGCCGCAGATGTCGCTTCTTGCGTGAGTCTGATGCTAGAAATATGGATGGTCATGGATTCTAGTGTGGAAGTCTTGCAGTCATGTGCTTCACAGATCTTCACAGATCATATGACACTTAAATGACATTGAACAAATCCAATGTCCCAACTGATGACCGCTTTTGGCTCTAGAGCCAGCCCGCCCCCACAGTTTGCATCGAGCACCAGTGGTGGGGAAACTGAAGGACCTTGAGAGCAAGGAGATAACCTTCTTTCGGCAGTTCACAGAAAGTCTCAGAGCCATTCAGAGCCACAGAGATATCAGAGACGACAACTTAGCCAATGACCTGGCATGTCCTGCAGATTTGCAGCAATCCCTGCACGTGTTTGTGCAAGCAGGCACAGCAGCCGTAGCAGCTCTGGCACTGCAAGCAAGAGCGGTTTGCATGCAAGTGACTATTCAGGGCTGCATTCTGTGAGTGACACTGATGAGGATGACATCGATGATGCTGATGAAGAGTTCTGGCAGGGCGTGGTGCGCACCTGCAAATGGATGGGGTTGGCACAGTTTGCAATGATCCCGGCAGTTTTCGCCCTTGCCAAGCTACGATTTACTCGATCGGTTTTTGAATTGGTCATTTCCGAAGTGCTCCTTTCTTTGATTGCACAGGTACGAGTGCGGAGGAACATCGCAGATTGGGTTTGCGAACAGTCGGCGGATATCTGGCAGAAGCATGTTGAGGTCTTAAATGTACGCCAGGGGTCAATGGGGATCCTCTCAGTGCATGACATTATGGTGTATTTTGGAACCCTTAGTGAAGCACTAGATCCTGGAATGGATGCATGGACAGCAGCCAATTCTGAACAGATGTGCACAGCGACAGTGCGAGACAAGTTTGCTGCTGCATGGGGGTCTTTTCCAGTTGTGGGCCACACTATTGGGTGGGTTGGTTTGCCTCGGATTTTGCTCACGCTTTTGTGTATTGCAGGCGTTTCGCAGGTGTATGAGTTCATGTGCAAAGAGTGCCAGGTGAAAGAGAAGATAGAAGCTTTGAGACGGTCATTCCCATTCGAAGATGAGGATGCAGCAACAAAAAGCAGGTGGCGAGTGTGGATCTTCGCGAGTCATATGACTGATGTAGGAGGTTTGATGTTGCTTCACGACATTTTCCAGCAACTTGTGCAAGTGGAGATCTCCTTGTCCGACAAAATTTGGCCAGTGGCTGACCGCTTTGCTGCGTTTGGATGCTTGTTCCGATAGATGATACTTTTTTTTCGATACGATTCAGCCACAGTATAGTTTTGCTTACATCTGAAGTTAGCCCTTCAATTTACTCTGTACCAAGTCCGTCAATGGATCCTGGTCTCGCGCTCATGTGGTTCGATCCTGTGTATTGAGCCCATGTACTAGCTCAAGAAGAGTGGGTTTTTCATTTTTTGAGTCGTCTTCAGGCTCTTTAGGCAGAAAAGTGGTTCCAGCAGTGCCAGTGAAAGTCTGCAGCTTTCAGGATACAAAGTCGTTTTGGAGGCCTTGCCTGCGCTTTGGCTGCAGATCTCATTGCTGTGTTTGACCTGGGATTCAGCAACGCTCTCTAGCCTCGCTGTGACCTTCGTGTCCTTGGGCTGCGCCTTGAATGCCAAGGAAGCCGGTTCCTTTGCTTTCCCAGACGGGCACCAGGCTATAGTAGGTGATCAGGTGCAGGATGTCGGTATAGCAGGCATGCAAGTGACTTGTATAGTGGGTTTGCAGCTTACCACCCTTCATGGATAGTTTCAGATTCTTCCCTGCATGGGATCCTTTGTGGGGTTCAAACCCTGCAGGGTTTACACTTTCTCTGCCAGACTCAAGAACAAACATGGATGGCTTTCCGGGTGTGATGTGGATGCGGGGCAAAGACAACCGCTCAGACATGCGAGGGGAAAGCGACCATGCAGTGAAGTTGTGAAAGGCTCCCATGTTCAACAGACTTCAGCCGGGTCAATAATGGTTCCTTCCTTGACATTCTCTGCCCATTAAAGGGGGAAGGGCCAGGGGAAGGACTGCAGAATGATGCCCAGCAGCCACACCTGTCACAAGCTTTTTACAGATTCCTGTCACGGCCTGCCAGTTTCCTACATGAACATCCTCAAGCATTTGTTCTTGGTCCTGCAATGCCTCAGAAAGGACCTCGAGTTTTACAGATCGCAAAAGCACCCAACAGAGCTTGGAAAGACATCAGGATCCACAAGACGTGAGATCAAGCTTCAACATCACTGTTTCTTGGCTTCATGCAGCCAACGGCAGGAAACGACCAAGGGAAATCAATTGCCACGGCCGGCCACAGCCATGGTGGATAGTGCTTTTCTGAAAGATTGGCCATGCTAGACTGAAGGCATATCCTCCAATCCAACCCAGGGAGTGCCACATGTCACAAGTCTTCATGTGGGGAGACACCTAGCTAGACTTACGGATGTTTGTGTCAGCAAATGCCCACCCCCCAATAACAATACGGAGTTGCTCAACAGGTGCGATTTGAGAAGACATCTAGTAAGTTTCTGCGCTTCTATGTGCTTCTTTCGGTTTAAAGTCCGAATGCTGGCCACCTCCCACCAACAATGCACCTTCAAGCTTGAATGTTTTCTAGGACCATTTTTTGGATGACTCAGGCTCAGGCGATTGAACCGAGGGTTCCCAAACAAACCTACAACCCCCGGTGGGATCTGGATGGATGGACATGGATGGACCTGTGGCTGGGAACGAGGTCTCTTGCCATGCCTGTTTCTGTTGGGTATCTTCATCATCTTGGCTTGCACCATTCGCCTGGCTGGCATCTGGCTTTGCCCCAGCCACATTCTAAATCTCGGCAGTGGCTGCGTGGGAAGCTAGCGACCCTCAGCGACAGTCCTCGTCCCGCATCGTTCCGCGTGGTGAAGACCCGCCACCTGGAGCACAGCGCGACTCAGCCAGATCGCCCCATGGTATCCACACATTGCCATTCCGATGGCCGCAGCCGAACGTATCGAGGTTTTTTCAGGACTTCTCGGAAGCAAGCCGAGATCTGAAGATTGCTGGCACAGGAAATGCGGAGGAAAATGAACCTGGCTGATGATCTCCAAGACATGTAAGGTGCTGTTGTATTATGTCTTTTTTTAAACCTTTTTTTCCCGAAAGCATTGCGAAGGGTTCTTCCGGAAAATCGTTTGAACACTGACACTTGGACACTTACACTTAGACACACTTAGACATTGACACTTTCACCACACTTAAACACACGTAGCCCTGTGTAAGTGGAAGAGCGAAAGCTGTCAAAGTATGCAAGTGTAAGTATGCAAGTGATGAGTATGCAAGCATGCAATGAGTAAGCAAGCATGCAATGAGTAGGCAAGTGAACTAGCACGGGAGATGTCCTAATGAAACAAGATGGAGCCCACGAACCCGAATGCAAACACCTTCGAAAAGCTACATATGTCCAAATGAGACTCTTGTAGGACACTCTTGTGGGACACTCTTGTGGGTGACTCTTGTAGGAAACTCTTGTGGGACACTCTTACGGGACACTCTTGTGGGACACTCTTGTGGGACACTCTTGTGGGACACTCTAGTAGGAAACTCTTGTGGGACACTCTTGTAGGACACTCTTGTGGGATACTCCTGTAGGACA